TCATGAAGACTCCGGCTGCTAGATCAAAGGATTGTATCTGGTATGTTTTCTTGTTTACTCTGCAGTGTTTTATTTAGGCTTTGTGCCTAGTATATTTTACTATTTATACACTGCATATTGTCCCTGTTTTAATTGTTTATTTGTGCAATAAATTTTGGATTATGCACTTTGTATCCTGTGCTGCTCTCCTCAAGGATATCGTTTTAGCCTTTTTAAGCACCCTCCTGCATATTATATAGAGCCTGGGACGGCTTTCAATCCTGTGAGTTTTACTCTACATGAGGAGTCTAACATTATATATATATATATGTATCTATATATATATATATTTTGCACTATGTTGTGTTATTGGTGTTTTTTAGATTGATCACGAATGGTCATTTAATTTCCTGGTGCAGTATTTATTCTATGTTAATCTGGCACTGCTAGAAGTGGTGGAACAGGCCATGGCTGGTTGTGGTGGGGTCCCCCGCTGATTTTAGGTGTAAAACAGCGGGGTTGTGGCGGGGGTATGTCCTTGCCAATTGAGTTTGATGGGTTACGTTTAAGTATATGGAATGAGATGAACAAGTTTTTAAGGTCTCAACTTCCCCTGCTTCAAAAGGTTAACATTAGGTTGCCTGAGGTGTCGTGCCCATCGAGCGTGTATAAGGTCGGCTGATGGCGGGCATTGGAAAGATATTATTTTATGACGAGGGGGGAGGTGAGAGGAAGTGGTGATTAGGAACCACTGTATGTTTATTGGCAAGGACGGTTGGGTCACTGTATAACACTATGTGTGGAGTTATATATGTATATATGTTAATTTATGCTTATTTATATCTAACGTTTTGGTTACAGAAAAGAAGAGATTTAATAAATAAAGTTATGGATGTGTTATGCAGTAATTTAGTTTGTGATAATAAATGCTGTGGCCTGTTCATCCATACTAAGTGGTCTGTCATTATTGGGGGGTTGAATGGGGTTAGTTTTGTTCTAGGCTGCATCGCAATTCCCCACTACGTACATACAAGTCATGATTTTGCTAAACAGCAACCAGAGAATTTTCAGTTAAATGCCCCAGGGAGAGATGTTAAAGTTTGCAATATACATTGTTTATGCTCTGCAACACATGGTATGGGTCCCTGGGGCGGAGTATTTGGAGAGCAGGGTGGGCCAACGCTCCAACAGCACTAGAGAAAGAGAGAGAGAGAGAGAGAGAGAAAAACAAAACAAAAAAAACCAACAACAACACTTGTGTCTATGGCAAATTCATTTATTTATTTTTTTGGGGGGAAAATTGGTAAGTGGGAAAGCCACCCAATTACAGATAGCGATTTCTGTCTAGTAAGAGCTCAAGTAAGAGCAAGGAATTTTGTTTGTTTGTTATTATTTAAAGCACCTGCTTTCTTACCAAATAAAAAGGAAAACAGAGCTGAATGTGTCCTGGACTTTGTATACCCTAGAAGGCTGTGGTTACTGCAAGATCTGTGACAATCCTACCTGTAAAAGAGGTGGTTTGTTACAATACATAAAGTCAGTGGAGTTAAAAGTGTGTATATATGTGCGTTGAAGAAATATTTATATAGTGAAGAGTATATAGTGCATTTATGTATTTTTATTTGTATACATAGTTTAAAGTCTG